GGGGGCGGGGGTAGGGGGAGGGAAGGGGTAGAGTTTGGCTGAGTGTGGACAGAGCAGCCAGCAGGGCACCCTGAGAAAGGCTAGAGGCCTCCTATTTCAAAAAGGCAGCTATTCCCTGGCTACACAGCCCCTATTCTTAAATTTCTATTTCAGAATAGGCACTATTTCTCATAGAATGAGGTTTACAGAAGCCGGAATAAGCCATCTGCTATTTAGAAATTATTTTGAAATAACAATTTTGCTGTGTAGATGTTTGCATAGTTATTTTAGATTAACAACCGTTATTTTGAAATAACTTTGCTGTGTAGACACACCCTTATTTCTCACAGGAACACTGGAAATACATAGCTTACTGTGAAAGGGGAGGAGAGAAGACCTTGGCTAAGTCTACACTGGCAGCTTCTTGCGCAAGAACAGCCATTCTTGCGCAAAAACTTGCCTGCTATCTACACTGTACGCGCGTTCTTGCCCAAGTAAATGTACAGTATAGCGTTGTAAAACAGGGCTTCTCTGGAAGAGTTATTCCTCTCCTCACAAGGAAGAAGCCCTCCTGCGTAAGAGCTCTTCCACAAGAGGCCAGTGTAGACACGCAACATGAATTTCTTGCCCAGGAAGCCCCTTGGTTAAAATGGCCATCAGAGCTTTCTTGCGCAAAAGCACATCTCTCACACAAAAGCACATGCCAGTGTAGATGCATTCTTGTGGAAGACTTTTTGCACAATAACTCTTCCACAAAATAGTGTGGAACGAGGTGTAATGGTAGTTCGAATTAGAAAGCCTAATTCGAACTACCTTCTACCGGGGATTTAAAAATGGCGGCACCCGGCACGATGCAAATGAAGCCCAGGATATTTAAATCCTGGGCTTCATTTTCAACTTCGATTGACTACATTAACCATCCTAGTTCGAACGAGGGTGGTAGTGTAGACATACCCTATTAGATGATCTTCCTCCTTCTCCTCAGTACCTACATGGTACATTCAGAAAAATATTAATGAATAGAGGATTTACCCAGTGTGGCTCAGGTCCTTAAGTGAAAGCAGGCTGCCCCGGGAAGAGAGGACAATCCCAGCCCTCTGTCAATGCAGCAGCTTGGGGCCAGGTAAGAAGCACCTCCCCAGCAAGTACAGCCGGGAGAGGGGATACACACACACACACACACACACACACACACACACACAAACTCTTTGAAATATATAGCAGATCTGTCCCTTTCTCCATCACTGCCCCCTGCTGGCCCAATGTGGTTTATCGCTGTCTTGATCCCCATCTCTGCCCCCTTGTTGGTGGTATAACTGTGCCTGCTTGCAGACCCCTTCCCTTTCTTCTTTAGGAGAAACAATTGTATTCTGGGCACATCCGATTGTCCTGACACAACCAAACCCTGACCTTGCTTTACATTATTATAAGAGGAAGAAGCACACCAAATTTGGTGGTCCTAGCTTTTACCATTTGGGGGAGTCCTTGAACAAACTGATGGATGGTCAGAGAGATACACACACAGAAACTCTCGCAAGTATATAGTAGAATGGACAGATTCAAATATTTAACTAAGCACTTGAAATAAGTGGTTCTGAGGGGCTTTTAGCACTTCACAGCAGTGCTCTGCTTCTTGCAGGATTGGGTGTAATAATTTATAGGCAGCTTCAATATTTTTCAGGTCCCTCCTCATAGTCACATGGGTCAGATTTCTCAGTACCAATTCAACACTAGTTAAGAGTTTTTAAACAGAACTTTATTCATACAGTAGAACTATCCCACAGTGGGCTACATTTATGTATTGTCCTCTAGATGACAGTGAAGGTAAATTCCTCTTCATCTAATTAGAGATATATTTAATTTACCCCCTTTCCACTGCACAAATAACAAAGCCCTGATTAATCAGCTGTACAGCAAGAGTAAACACTCTGCTTCACTTAATTAAAAATTAAATTCCTCTTGAGGGGTGATTACAGCAGGGAGCTGGTATATGCCTTTGCTAAATAGGTGTTTCTTCCAGGACACAGTTAGAGGTAGACCAGTGGGAACTCTGTATCAATATAAACAGAAATTTGTTCAGACATTCAATTAGGACTATACACATGTTCATCCTCCTCTGAGAAGAGGTGTGAATAGAAAGGCCAAGGAAAGTTTCAAGAATTTGGAGGTTAGAGCTTTGTTATTTGGTACATGATCTATTTGACATATTTGCATGGCTATTTGGTATCTTTTAGATTAATTTTGTAATGTCAGTATTTTAAAACTAAAAGTGAATTTTATATAAAGGTGCTGCTCAAAATTTTGCATGCTTCCATATGGGATATTTTTAGGTTCATGCAAAAAAAAATCTAACCCTAAAAAACTTAATAAAGAAAACATGGAATAAGAATTTTCATCAATAGCTTTTCCTCTCCATTTGCCTCCTTCTGATAAAATTTGTATCACAGGGCACCATTTCTTTTCCTTTCAGTCTCTTAGTAACTAGATCATCATTACCTCTAGCTGCACAAGGGCTTATTGCTGTACTGGCATTATCCTGTGGGCTGCAGCATGGGAAGGAAAGTAGGGTCTGCAGATTGTAACTTTCTGCTACTTCGGGCAACAAAACCATTCACTTCCTCTTGCTCAGGTAACACGCTAACAAGTCCTTGGGAGAACACAAAGGGAATAACCTGTCCCTTAGAACTAAAAATCTGATTTTAACTTTATTTTTCCCTGGACAAGACTGGGAATTCATGTTCAAACTGGCAGTTTTAACTTCACTGCTGAGGACTCGTGGGGTACATCTACACTGCAAGGCTATTTCAGGGTACCGGAGGTATTCTGAAATAGTGTTCCTGTATCTACACAATCCTCCCAATATTTCAAAATATTTTTCAAAATAACAGGTGCACTATATCGCCATCCCAGTAAACCTCATTGCACAAGAGTTAACGGATGGCTCAAAATAGTGCATTATTTTGAAATTTGGCATGGTGTAAACATGCCATATTTCAAAATAAGCTATTTTGAAATAGATTCAAAATAAGACACACAATTTGCGCAGCACAAATTGCGTATATTATTTTGAGTTTAGGGTGCTGTATAGATGCACCCTTGTAAAGAAACTCTTTTGGCTAAACATCTTGTGATCCAGGCATGTAAAATGTGAGCATCCTGTGAATTAGTAGTACAATATGAGCATTCTTATTAATTTTCTCAAGAACAATACATGTAAGTTAAACAGACCATAGCAATACCATTAGACACATTCCTGCACTCACTTTAGAGACAATCAATATCAATTATCAAATTCGCTGCAGCAGAGAATGGCTGTGAAATTGCCCATAAAACAAGTTTACAAAGTCCACCCGGTATTTTCCATATTGCCTTGTATTTTTTAAAATGTACATAAATAATTATTCCAAAGAAGCTTTAATTTGTCATCATAAAATGGCCTATTTGTGACATCACTGAAATCCATTCTACTTTATTATATTTCATGCACATAATGAAGGAAATTAGGTTCTTATTTGAATGAAGGTTTTTGGTTTCCAATGTCATTGTATTCTTAGACTGAAAACTGTTTGGAGCAGAACCATTGTCTTGTATTCATCATAGAATCAGAGAATACTAGAACTGGAAGGGACCTCGAGAAGTCATCAAGTCCAGTCCCTTCAGACAAGACCAAGCACCATCTAGATCATCCCTGACATGTTTGTCTAACATGTTCTTAAAAATCTCCAACGATGGAGATTCCACAACCTCCCTAGGCAATTTACTCCACTGCTTAACCACCCTGACAGTTAGGAACTTTTTACTAATGTCCAACCTAAACCACCCTTGCTGCAATTTAAGTCCATTGCTTCTTGTCCTATCCTCAGAGGTTAAGGAGAATAATTTTTCTCCCTCCTCCTTCTGAACCTTTTAGGTACTTAAAAGCTGCTATCATGTCCCCTCTCAGTCTTCTCTTTTCCAAACTAAACAAGCCCAATTCTTTCAGTGCCCCACCCTATGCCCCTCCACTCTCCCACATGTCAGGAAACAGCACAGCTCAGTTAAAAAAAATCCTAACCATGCTTGTGAGTCACGAGATGGCAGCTGTTCCCAGGCACAGGGAAATGTAAGCTGAGGACTGTGAGACTAGAGCCCCTCAGATTTGGTATTTCTAAACTCATGTTTGAGCTTCTACACTGATTGACCAGTCTGGATTTACAATTTCTGGAACTGTATTTTATACTCATGCTCACACAACCACATTGCACTACACAGACGTGAGTCAAGCCAGCCTATCCCAAGCTCCCTACTGCCCTTCCCAACATTAGCTGCTCTATCCCTTGGTTCATGATGTACTGTGGGAAAACTTAATTAAGCATCCCATGGCTCTTTACCAGAAG